ACCATAAGTCTTTACATGTTAAATTTTTTTGATTCAGTAAGGATGATAATTACTTCTAGTACACAATTAAATAAACTAGCATAAATATATGACAAATCTTGATAAGTAACTTAAACTTTTATACCTAAAATGCTATTGAAGATGTATCTCTAAATGAGAAGAAGGGCTTTTCAGGTATTTGGTCATATATCCATGAATGAATATTATTTATCAACAAAATCAAACAAGATCAGCCTCAATCTTATTACTATATTTCATTTTTAAGAATTTAAACATTGAAAAACTTCACTCACATGAATAAATAAATGGAAATAGAAATGTTATTATACAAAATCAAACAAGATCAGCCTCAATCTTATTACTATATTTCATTTTTAAGAATTTAAACACTGAAAAACTTCACTCACATGAATAAATAAATGGAAATAGAAATGTTATTACAGCAATGTCTCTCAATTCTCTGAACTCCTTCCAAGTTATATGCCCCAAATTATACAGCAATTTATTATCAAAATTCAGTTGAAGCTGACAACTTAATTGGGCCTTCCCTCAAAATTGATGAAAGGAGAGGAGCAGAAACCACTGAACTTGAAAAAGGATTTGCTATGCTATCATTTGAAGCATTCAAGTTCTCAACACCTATGCCAATATTTTTAATTGTTTCTGGCATACCAGTGTTTTTTATGTCCCAGAGCAAAGCCCCCAAATAAGTAAGAGTTAGATTAGTAAAAGATACGATTTTCTTTTGTAAAGTGGGAGAAGTGTGTATTTTTAGGCAGATTTATTTCAGGAAAGTATACATGTGAAAGTTGAAATCTCAATATATATTTAATTAACTCTCTCCTTGCTGGTGTGTATCCCTTGGGAAGTCAGGCTCATTTTGGTAAAGATTTCTGCCTAGCACTTGGAATATCACTTTTGGGGTATCAAATAGATGTGTGGTACTAATAATAGTTGGTGATATAACACAATCCAGAGAAAACTCGGTGCGCTTAAATCCCCACTAGGGATTACCACACTTCCTGCACAAGTAAACAGCACCATAAATCATAACATTATAATACTCTTAGTGTTTGATCATAGTTCCTGCAGAGGTCAGCTGATTAGTGTCTTAGCTTATCAAAACACAAAATATGCCTTCTTTTCAAAGCCAGTACAAATGGTCCCTAACTTATGATGGCTCGACTTACAGTATTTTGACTTTACAAGCGTGCAAAAGCAATACACATTCAATAGAAACCATACTTCAAGTACCTATATGATCATTCTGTTTTTCACTTTCAGTATAGAATTCAATAAGTTACATGAGATATTCAACACTTTATTATAAAATAGGGTTTGTGTTGGATGATTTTGCCCAACTATAGGCTAATGTAAGTGTTCTGAGCACATTTAAGGTAGGCTAGAGTAAGCTATGATGTTTGGAAGTTTAGGTGTATTAAATGCATTTTTTACTTACAATTTTTTCAACTTACAACGGGTTTATCAGGACTTAACCCTATCATAAGTTGAGGAGCATCTGTACTCAGAAACTCCTAGATAGAAAATTGCCAGGCTCCTTATACAAAGATAACCCCACTATCTGGGAGACATGCACTGGTACACACACACACACACACACACACACACACACACACACACACACCCTCACACCATCCCAGATACCCTACACCATCCATTGCTGGAGCATGGTCTGTGGCAATTCAGAATTTCTATACAGGAGGGGTTTTAGGTAGCAGTCTGGCTGGAAGAGTGGTAAAGCTGTAATGGCATAGCAAATGCATTGCTCTTATGTTGGTAGTAAAGTTGAGGTGGCTTTAAAGAGGAACCAGTGCAGCACCTAGGCTTGGTCATGTCACACTGTCATCCTCAACAGCAACAAACTATGTCTTAGGAAGAGTGGAGGTTTATGAAGGTAAAAAAGTAGAGTGGAAGGAGCTCTGGTTTCAAAGTCTGACTCTGCTGCTGTCATTTGTATATGTTATTTGGATGCTTCAGGCATCAGTAGTTTCATGTGCAACATGAGGAAGTTGGATAAGAAGAGCATTTCCAGAATTTATTTGTCCGAAAACATTTAAAAAATATTAATAGATTTGATGAAATCCCAATAGAAGGGAGCTTATGAGAAACAAAATTTGCTACAGATCCAAGGGGAATACATTTGTTATATATATTAGGAAATATTAAATATATTCACACATGTATACATTAAACATGGAATAGTACTGCAGATATACGCTGAAATAGTAAAGCAAGAAGATAAAACATAGATCAATAATATAAAATAAATACCTTAACACAGCACAATTAGCTGATGCGCTGTGTGTCAAAGTACAGGTTAGATGTTATTTGTGTGGATCAGTGGATCCTCATGTGACTTCCTATTATTCTTGGGTATGAGCAGTTCTGCAACATAATGATAGCCATATTCATGTGTTTAGTACTTTTCTCACATGCATATTACAAATGTACCTAAAAATAAAAATGTTGGTGTCACAAAGTAGTTACTTAACAAGTATTTATTGAATGAGTGAAGAACTAAACTCTGTCCTCGGCCTTGGTAAGCATCCATCTAGGGTAAGACTCATAAGTTGAACAATGAGAAACAAGAAGGAAGCAGACGGCTTGAACTATCTCCTCAATGGAAACAGGCAGAATTATAACTCAACATAATGATTCTTAACCAGAATTTTTTTGGCCATGTTGGTTACATATGGATACTAAAAGGAAGCTTTCCTTTCTTGTTTTAGGCCAGCTGCCTAAAAGCCATCTGGAAGCAGAGATTCCAAAGAGTGGCCTTCAGAGCTGTCCAACTCCTTTGCTTCAGTGTCTTGATCTCTGGTAAACTTTATGCTAACTTTTCACCTGGCCCTGAGGAGTTAGGGTAGAGCCCAGAGCCAAATGTGAGACATTAAAGATTGTAGCCAGCGGTTGTGAAGCCTGGAAAAGCTGTCCCTGCACAGATTCCTGGAAGAAAAATGCACCCTATACCATCATATTGGTAGAAAAGGCTTCAGAGAGAACTTAAACTGATATATCCAGGACCAATTTATCCATTAGACAACAGTAGGTGTAGGACCACAATGCTTTTAGGAACCCACAAAAACATTTGAATTTCTTAAAAAATCATTTTCTTTGAAGTAAAAAATAATGTTTTAATATATAACATTAACATATTCATCTGTGTATCAGTGTAGTTATAAAATATAATTATAAAATATGTTATTATGGAGGAAGGGGCCAATGAAGGCAAAATTGCCTACAGCCCACAAAAGTCATAATGTGGCCCTGGCTGTCTCAGCATAAAATCTTAAAGCAAAATATGCCATAGAAGTGTCAGTGACAAAGGTACAATCATTACTGACCTCCATGTAGGCAGCAGGGAAGAGGGTTGAATAGGAGCAAGGCTTTATAAACAGGAAAGGGAGCCATTTCCAGGCCTGATTGCTTGCACTGTAAACCTCTCACATGGGAGCTGGCTTCTGCCCTGAGTTAGCTTCCACAGACTAAAATAACAATGCTTTGCATCACAGGGCCTTTACACCATTGAAAGGCACATTTTTTTTTCCAATTGGTATTACAAACACTTATAAAGAAGGGTTGTTTTGAGCCCTATTTTAACAAGTGAGTAAGCAGACATGGAGAAAGTAATTTATTAAAGAGAAACAGCCATGGGAAGAGGAATTAGTGTAGGATTGCAAATCAAGTGATCTGATTTTTAACCCTGGTTCTGCCACAAACCGCTGTGTTTCACTGACTCCACGTGTATTTATTGAATGCCTACCAAGTGTCAAGCTCTATGGTGCTAAGGATCCAAAGCTAAAAAGAGACTGCCATCAAGGATTCACAAGCTAGCAGAGGTGGACCAATCATAGAAACAGACACTGCAATACGTGGCAAGAAGGTAGGGGCAGGGACAAGATGCAGTGGGAGGCTGGAGGATGGAACATCAAGCCTACCTGGGGACATGGAAAGTAGGGGGAGTAAAGGTGACCAGCCATAAGAGGGACAGGCAACCAGGATAGCAGGAAGAACATTGCAAAGGCATAGATGTGGTAGTTCTGTTTTGCTAAGAAAGTAAATATGTGGGTGATGAGGTTGGGCCAACAGGTAGGACCCAGATCATAAAGCTTCTTATTTTCCATGTGAAGAGGTAGAACCTGCCATCAAGACGCTTTATGTATCATTTAATTTGGGCTCGAGCAAATAACTTAATGTATCTCTTTCATTTATAAAAGAAGAGGAGTAAATTAGATAACCTCTAAGGTCCCTTCCAACACTGGTATCTTATGATTAAAATATTTAACCCCAAGCATGCTCAAAAAATGACATTTTCCTATTCTGACTTCATGTATACCTTCAAGTAAAAGGTGGAAACCACTGTTTGTCCTTAAAATAACTACATTAGGGGCCGGCCCGGTGGTGCACTGCTACAGTGCCCCGCTTGGGAGCGTGGCGGCGCTCCCGC